CAATTTTTATGCTATTTAATATCTATATTCGTATTAATTTCGCATTTTTTTCAACTGCACAGTATGCTGAAATAGCACTAGCATGATTGAAGCGAGGGATTAGGGCAACACTCCATATTACTGAGTGAAAAAAAGATGGCAGATGCCCACATTTAAGCTAGACTTGGGGCTTTCTTTTCCTGAAGGCGTCGTTTGTACAGATTATTATACTGGGCAATGATGAAATGCAAACGTGGGTGCCTCACCAACACTACTGGAAGATATTTTGAGCTGATCACATGAGGCAGTTTGATTTCTAAAAACAACGTAGGGTTCCTTTCTAGCTGATTCGTTATTGTGTAGTGTTTCTTGCTTGTCGTATCCAGTCACCACAATTAAACGGTTGCATACATCTATGTCAAGGTTAAGGCATCATTTCATTGTTTGTTTTTCCTCTTGCGAAGCAGAACAAAATCAAAATTCTTTTTACCAAGTTCTATTCAGGTCAAATTATCTTAGAAAAGTTCAACTTTATAGTGTTGTGCGATCGAAGACAATTATTGACCCGAAGGTTAATCGAAAGTTCGACTTCAACTGAGACTTTGGAATCTTTGCGGCGTGCCAATTTTAGCGAAATCTTCACGAGCCGATCCGCTTTCCACAGAACTATCACGAAATAAGGAATACAGCAATCAGTGATTTGAAGCAGGACACTGAGCTTTCAATTTTGACTTTAAGAGTATGCAGGATTAAGGAAGCTTCCTCCTTGCACAGAAATTAGACGCTAAAATGTTTTATCCTAAATTTTCTTCTTTTGAATCAGATCTACGAAGGCGACGGTGAGAAACGACATAAGAAGCGAGAGGAAGGTAGAGAGAAGAGTAGGGAGGGAAATATTTAGAACGTGGCATTTTTTCAAGGTAAAAATTTAACTAGCAGAAGTAAAGATATCATTGAAAAAGCATGTTAATTACTTTTAGCTATTTCTCCTATTTCCTATCCAATGTGAAGTTCCCTATCTATCCATACAGTCTTCACCGCATTCCTTGTACAAAGTGTTAATGTGCTCTAATTTCTAGATTTCTGCACTTATTGAAAATCTTAGCAATC